TAAAATGTAATATTTATGGGTTATGCTTGAAATTTTTGAGTCAAAATTTAAAGATAAAAGTGATGCTAGTAATTTTATTACTTATAAAAATCAAATTCGTTTTATTCAATTTCTAATAGTACTTCGAGATGAATTTGAGAATACTAGATCTTCACTTTTGCGCTGACATCCCTTACCAACTATGGATAATACTCTTTTGAAATTGATATATAAGAAAACTCAATTAGGTATGAGTCAGACTCATAATGTTGATGCTACTGTTGCTGCTAGTCTTCAAAAAAGTACTAGCTCTACTTTTCATAAGTTTTGTTCACAATTTAAAAGGACTAATCATCCCGTTTAGAAATGTAAAGCTAAATATCATTATAACGATAGTCTAATTCATGATCCTTGCTTTAACAAGACTATTGCGGCAACAATCATTAAACCAAACACTTTTGAGTATTCGTGTGAGATCGTTACAATCTCCACCATTAATCTTCAAATTTTGTTCAATCAAGTATTATCTCAATCTCATGTTATTGACATATCTGCTGTCATATCAGGTATTGTTTGGTTGTTTGATACTATCTATGAAAATCATATGACTATTACTTTTTTTGTTTAAAATAAGATATCTGTATCAATGGTCCAATCATTAAAATAACAAATGGATCTATCTTAAAAGCTAGCCACATTGGTAATATTGAAACCTTAAAACTATGTATATCTGACACTTATTTTATTCCTAATATTGCCTTAAATTTACTTTCTGTTGGCCAACTTTGTGAACTTGGTCTTGATTTATATTTTTAACAACAATATGGTTGTATTGTACATGATCCTTAAACAGGTCAGAAAGTTGAAACAGGGTGTAAGGTTAGAACATTATTTGAAAATTTCACAATATTTACTTACTACTTCTACATCTCAAACAACCATCTCTTCAATTTTTTTTTTAGATTTATGGCATTCTAGGCTAAGACATGCATCTATTTCTTGAATAAAGTTACTTGCTTCCACTGGTACCTTAGGTAATATTTCTCATGATATTTTTTATTATTTCTCTTGTCAACTTAGAAAGCAAAGTGCTTTACCTTTTAATAAAAGTGATTCTATCTCATTTGCTCCTTTTGATTTAGTCTATTATAATATTTGGGATCCAACTCCTACACCAACTTTAGGAGGTTCACGTTATTTTGTTATATTTGTTGATGATTTCTTTCATTATACTTGGATATATTTATTCAAATAAAGAATTGAACTTTTATACATTTTTTGTGAATTCAATAATATGATACAAATTCAATTTTCTAGAAAAATAAAAATTTTCAAATCTGACAATGCTGCTGAATATACAAAATTTGAGTTTGTAACTTGTTAAAGGATAATGGGACTTTTCCTTATAGGTTTTACACATATACTTCACAATAAAATGGTCGAGCTAAAAGAAAATATCGTCATATTCTTAACACAATTCATGCCCTTCTCATTTTCTCTTCCCTTCCTTAACATTTTTAAGGTAAAGTTGCTCTTATTGTTGTTTACATTATTAATCGTGTTCTCACACCAGTATTAGCCATACGGTCTCCTTATGAGTGTCTATACAATAAGATACCTGATTGTCATTCTCTTAAAATTTTTGGATATGCTTACTTTGTTTTACTTCTTACTCATGAAAGGACTAAATTTGAACCTAAAGCTAGAATGTGTTGTTTTTTGGGAACATAAAAAGTTCAATAGTATGTTCTTATTACATTCACCATATTTTTTGTTAAGTATTTTTACAAATTCATCTTTTAATTTTTCTTTAAATGAAGAGATTGTTATAGGTACTTATGACTCAAATAGTAATCCATCTTTTACTTCTACTATGTCTAATCTAACTAAGGCTCTTATTGATACATTTGTCCTTTCATCATACATATCGCTTTCATTTCGTCATTCCACCTAGGTAAGAAAATCTAACACTTAACTTCGTGATTTTTTACTGTTATTATGCTTTAGCCACATTACATGAATCTTAGAATTTTTGTGAAGTTGTCTCTAATTCTATGTGACAACAAGTAATAGCAGAAGGGTTTTAGGATCTTAAGAAAACTCATACTTGAGATATTGTTGAATGACTTTCTAATAAGTCTGTGATTGATTGTAAGTGGGTTTACAAGATCAAGGCTAGATTTGATAGGTCAGTCGAACATTACAAAGCTCGTCTTGTTGTTCGAGGATTTAAACAAAAATATAGCATTAACTATGAAAAGACTTTTTCTCCAATTGCATGTTTCACATTTATTTGTTCACTATTGGCTATTACTGCAGTTATAAAGTGGCTAACTTTTCAAATATATGTTAAAAATACCTTCTCAAATGGTGATCTTTCGAGGAAGTCTATATGAAACCGTTTCATGGTTCATCTGTACCTTATAACATGGTTTGCCATCTTCAACGTGCTCTATATGGTCTTAAGCAAGCCCCTAAAGCTTAGTTTATGAAGTTTAGTATCACTATTGCATAATTGGATTTTACATTTAGTAATCATGATTTTACCTTTTTTACTCGAACTATTGAAAATGGTGCTACTCTTCTCTTACTTTATGTGAATGACATGATCATTACGGGTAATGATGTAAATGGTATTTAAGATCTGAAGACTTTTCTTCATTTTAAGTTTGAGATGAAAGATCTTCATTCTGAGTTATTTTTTAGGCGTTGAAGTCACTAGTGATTCTATTGGCTTACATTTATCTTAAACAAAATATTTTTTTGATCTTAATGCTCAAATAGGTTTAACTAATAGCAGGATCGCATCATCATTAGTTAAATAGAATTTGAAGCTTTCTCTTTCTGATGGTACATCACTTTTAGACCCTTTTTTGTATCAACTATAGTGGGTAGTCTCGTATACTTAACAGTTATTTGTCCAAACATTACATATGCTATTCATCTGGTTAGTTAATTTTTGTTTGCTCCTTGATCTACTCATTTTTCTATGGTCCTTCAAATTCTACGATATGTCAAGGGTATTATGTTCCATGATTTGCATTTTTCTTCTTGGTCTTTTTTGGACTTGTATTGTTATTGTGATTTTGATTTTGATTGGGTAAGAGACTAATTGTCATTTTACCATAGGCTATTGTATCTTTCTTGGTTTTTCTCTTATTTCTTGGTGAAGTAAAAAATAATTTGTGGTGTCCTGCTCTAGCAATAAAGTTAAGTATTGAGCTCTTACAAATACCACATCAGAACTTCTATGGTTACGATGGCTACTTTAGGATATACATGTTTTTTATCACTCTAATATTTCTATATTTTATGATAATCAAAGTGCCACTCGAATAGCTCACAATGATTTTCATGAGCGTACTAAACATATTAAAATTGATTGTTACTTCATTCGTCATCATCTGCTTGCTCAAATTCTTTGACTTGTTCTTATTACCAGTGCTTATCAAAAAGCAAATATCCTCACTAAATCACATTTACCTGGTTAATTTTTTGTCCAAGTTTTTAAACTCAAGTTGACCTCTACATTACCATTTTAAGTTTATCGAGAGATGTCAATGATATTCTAGTAATATTCTAATAATATTATAGATTGATGATATTATTCTAATAATATTTTAATAATATTCTAGATTGATTTGATATTAATTTAAAAAAATTAGATATTAATTTAGTTGATTATAAAAATTAATTTAGTCATTATTTTTATTTATTATATTTTTTATTTTATAACATTTTACCTTTATATTAAGAAGCTACACAAATCAGTGTAATAAAATTTTCATTATTTTTTTCTTTTTCACATAGCATAAACTTAAAAAGTTTTATCCAATACCCTACCAAAATTAGATCCAGCCTGAGACAAATCACGTTATCAAGCAATCAAACTCATAAATAAATCTCTTACGTGAATTTGATTTGATTTTATATTTTATTTATCCAATTACATGTGGATACTTTGATTTGATTCGATTCATTGAATTTTTTATATGTGACGTGATAGTGTCATTATTATAATTTCTACTAGTGACTAAAAAATGAGAATATCACCAAACTAAAGTTAGGAGACTTGCCAAACAAATGAAAAATAAGTTTTCGTTTCTCTTTAGACTTCTTCATTTTTCTTCTTATCCTGTCAAACACAATCTTCTTTCCTTTTTATCTATGACGAAAGAATTCTCATCTTCAACTTTAGCATCACAAGCAAAAGATTACCATTGGACCAATAAAATAACATATATAGTTCCATAGCCTTCAATAAATTATATGTTGAAAAGGTTGTTTGTCCATTTATTGGACAAAATACAAAACCATTGCTCGTATTGTTGAGACCCAATGTCCATATAAACATTATCTACAGATCATTTAGAAAAAGAATAGTGCTTTAACTAATTATTAAAGTTTTATTATTTTGAAGACCAAAGAATGGTGCATTATATATGTTTATTGAGATGTAAAATTCTACTACAATATATAAGAGATTATTTGTTTCATCTCATTTTAATTAAAAATAAAATTCCAAATCGAATTAAGTCTTTCGAGTTAAAAGTTTCAAAATCAATTATTTACGGTCCTATTAAAAGAGAATGAATAAACTGCATTTCAACTACCTCTTTTGTTTGCCGTTGATATTGCTCAATCAACCTGATTACCCTGTTTTTGGTGAAAATTAAGTGAGATTTAATTAGAGATGACAAAATATACGAGCAACTCATTATAGACCGTGCCAGCATGATCCATATTATTATATGGATGGATCGTACTTGGTATAATTTTATCTTAATGTTGAGATACACCACGATTTCTTGATTCATGAATTGTCACATTATTTTTAAAAATTACATTACATTTTTTTTAGGTTGCATTTTTTTTTATAAAAAAAATTCAACATTCTTTAATCTTTACACTTCTTATCTCTATCATTGCTTCAATTTTCAATTGAAAACTAGGATTTTACACTGTACATTAATGATCGAAGATTATTGTCTGCTATTGCTGCCGAACCAGTAGTTTTGTCTAGCAAGAAAACAAGTGGCCGCTTCATTCTTTTGTGGTACAATAAAAAACCACTCGCATAAAATAAAATGAAACTTACTCACTTGCTCTTTTTTTCTTACTTTTTCCAGCTCTGATATGCATCTTAGATTGTGCCAAATTCATGGGAATTTGGTACTGATTTGGCTAAGACGGCTCTATACAGGAGGAAGCTTCACTGCCTAGAATACTGACCTGAGTCCAGGATCAGTTATAAAGAACTTTACCCCACAAATATTTAACGTGTCGCTTCTCCTATTGGCTTGATTTGATATTATTATAACTTATCTGATATTTCCATTTCTATGTGCTTTGCCTCTCCTTCTAGACTCTCCCCCCAAAAGAAACCATGTCCTCAAGTGGATACGGGACAATCAATTGCTGCTCTCTTTCTCTCACTCTCTCCCCTGTTTTCTTTCCTCCCAAACGACCGTTTTTATCCCCACAAATCCCAAACTTTTTCTGGCCATATCTCCATTCATTTCCCTGGGAAAGCCCACTTCTTTTAGTGAACCAAATGACCTTTCTTAATGGTCAGGAAAATGCTTCCTTTGCCTAATTAGAGAGAGAACCATACCGGACACATGGAAGAGCAAGCTGAGATGGAGAATCTACGCATCAGCTATAAGAATGGTTCGAGGAATATCATCTTTGGCAAGTACGAGATGGGGAGGGTTTTAGGCCAAGGCACCTTTGCCAAGGTCTTTTACGGGAAAAACATGTCAACCCAAGAAAGTGTAGCCATCAAAGTTATAAAAAAAGACCAAGTCAAGAAAGAAGGTTTAATGGAGCAAATAAAGAGAGAAATTGCAATCATGAGGTTGGTACGTCACCCCAATGTTGTTGAGTTAAAAGAAGTTATGGCAACCAAAGCAAGAATCTTTTTTGTAATGGAATATGTCAAAGGAGGTGAATTGTTTGCTAAGGTAGCTAAAGGAAAGCTAAAGGAGGATTCAGCAAGGAAATACTTTCAGCAATTGGTTAGTTCAGTAGACTTTTGTCATAGTCGTGGCGTGTTCCATCGTGATTTGAAGCCAGAGAATTTGCTCTTGGACGAGAATGAGAACGTGAAAGTCACTGATTTTGGCCTCTCTGCTTTGCCTGAACAGCTTCGCAATGATGGTTTGCTGCACACACAATGTGGGACTCCAGCTTATGTTGCGCCAGAGGTTTTGAGGAAGAAAGGGTACGATGGAGCAAAAGCTGACATTTGGTCTTGTGGGGTTATTCTGTTTGTTTTGCTGACAGGGTATTTGCCTTTCCAAGCTGAAAATGTTATGAAGATGTACAGGAAAATTTTCAAGGCAGAATACGAGTGCCCGCCCTGGATTTCAAACGACGCAAGGAGACTAATTTCGAAGCTGCTTGTTGCCAATCCTGAAAAGAGGATTACAATTCCAGGGATCACGAGAAATCCCTGGTTCCGAAAGGGTTTTACAAAACCTGTTACGGTTTCAGTTGAAGAGTCATCGGTAGAAAACGTCGAGAAGGATGAGATCGAAAGCAATGGAGAGCTGGAAATGGTAACAACAAAATCATCACCTTCTTTCTACAACGCGTTTGAATTGATATCATCAATGTCATCAGGATTTGATTTGTCAAATTTGTTCGAGAATAAAAGGAAACCAGCTTCTTTATTCACTTCAAAATGCTCAGCTTCAGCAATCCTGTCAAGGCTTGAATCTATGGGTAAGAAGTTGAATTTTAGTGTGTCATGTATGAAGGATTTCAAGGTTAAAATGCAAGGGAAAGTGGAGGGAAGGAAAGGGAAATTAGCAGTGACTGCGGAGGTTTTCGAGGTGGTGCCGGAGGTAGCGGTGGTGGAGTTCTCGAAGTCAGCCGGTGACACTCTTGAGTACAACAAGTTCTGTGAGGAGGATTTGAGGCCAGCCCTTAAAGACATAGTTTGGAGTTGGCAAGGCGAAAATAACTATCAGTAACTGTTAAGGGCTGCAGCTACGGTCTCCACCTACATGGGAACCATTTTCCTCTTGTCATTTTAATGGCTAATAATTGTGCCTCTATAAGCCAGATTTTGTTGTTAGATCCTACACATGACATATCTCTCAACCAACTTTTTGTAAATATTGCTATATGTATTGTATTGCAAGGGTTGAGGTTTTAATGATTTTGAATTCAATTTCATTATCATTAAATTAATATATATCGAGACATAATCAAATGAAATATGTACATAAAATCTATGTAAATAATTAATTAGTTATTAAAAAAAAATTTGTAACTTGGATGAGTGAGGAATGGTAGTTCCATTAGCTTTAATCTAATTTATGTGGTGATGGGTTGAATTATGCGATGAGTAGTGGTGGCTATGGGGCCTAAAAGGTTAATGCTCGATCATAAACTTTACCTTGTTTCATTTCCTAGTTTGTTGATAGGAAAGGACAATTAGCTTTAAGCAAAAGGAAGGACAATTTGGTTCTATCAGGAAACAGTGCTTGCTGATGCTGGATGAATCACTTTCGACTCATGCACCCTTCCATGACAAATACTATCAAACTCATACCGACTGGATCCGAATTAGCAATGTGTTGGCGTTTTGTAGAGAATTTAATTTTTTTATTTGTAATTAATAATATTTATAATTATTTAATTAATTTAATTGGATGAGAATAAAATTTTTATAAATTATATTAAATAGATTTAATTTAAATTTCGTATAAATACAAAAATTATTTAAATAATTTAATAATTAATTTTATACATTCAAATTATTATATTAGCAAAATTATTGTTATATTAACAAAATCAATATCATATTAGTAAATCAAAAATCACAATAGTATTTTTAATAATTAAAATTTGATAAAATTAATAATTAAATTAAAATTATTAAATTAAAATAGTATAAAAATTACATTTCAAGAATTCTAATAAAAAATTAAAATTTGAATTTTAATCAAGTAAAAGTACTGTTAACATAATTTGACCAATTTAATTTGAAGTATATTTATTTATGCAATTAAAATTTTGTTTTTTACAAATATATTTATATCTATATAAATAGTCGATAACTTAAACCCTAGGTCCTCGTTTTCCTCTTTGGTTCCTTCCTCTCTTCCCTTATTAATCAATCAAATCAAGCGATGGACAGATTAACGCGAACCGACAATGGCGAGCCGTACGGACCCTGCGGCCAAGAGCATAGGGGGAACGAACCAACAAAACCTGGTTGAAAAGATAACTCGCTCCAAGATATTCCAAACCACCTACTAGAAGGAGCGGTGTTTCGGGTTGACGGCGAATACGCTGGTTGACAAGGCCATGTAACTCGACTACATCGGCGGTACCTATGGGGGGCAAAAAAAAAAAAACCCACCCCTTTCATTTGCCTAGTCTTGAAGATGCTCTAAATTCAACCTGAAAAAGACATCGTCGTCGAATTCATTAAAAAGGAAGACTTCAAGTAAGAAAATTGCTTTCTCTCTGTCTTATTGGTGTCATTAATTGTTTATCTTTGATGAATCAGATTTTCGCTTAACGCATGTGGATGAGGTTATTGATGAACTTCTGACTAGAGATTATTAAGAAAAAGTAAGGTCGTTTCGGGTATTCACAGGTTGATTACATTGGTATTTTGATTGAGATTATCAAATTTGAATGTCTGATACTTTCTTTGAAGATGCTTCCTTTAATATAACGCTTTTGCTACTTGTTTGTTTTACCATTTGCTTTTACTTACTCGAAAGTTGCATGATGATTTTTTTATTAAAAATGAGCAAATACTTAGAATCTAACATACATTCAAACATAGTTGTTCGATGGTAAAGTAACCTCATGCATTTTGATGTTTGCAAAGCTTTAGTTTTTTCTTATTATTTATTCAAAAAGTATTTGAATTTTGTTCCGAAACTCGATTTTCATGTTTTGTGTTTCTGGGAGTAGAAGGAAAAGTATCTGCATAAAAAAACCAGATTAAGACCAAGTTATTGCCCTTGACTTTTGATTCAACAGATGGACTCTCAAATCACTTGGAGCATTGGATCGCAAAAAAAGGTGTGTTGGAAGATGATTTCGAGGAAGAAGAAGAGAAAGAGGAGAACCAGCAAGATGTTTTAGAAGATGAGCTGGCTCATGAGAAGGTTTCTTGTATTTTTTTCCTTGCTATTGATGGACTATTGCTTAGTGAATGTTGTTGTTGTGATTTTTCTTTTATTGATGGAATTCCTATTTTCTTTAACAGGATTACTACCGAGAGCATAGTCCTGCTAGGGAGAGAGACAGAGATAGAAGATGCGACATTTATAGAAGCAAGTACAGTTCGTTGCCTTTGTTATTCTTTTTTTTCATTGCCTTTGTGCATATCCATTAGAATCCTGCTATGTTAGGAGTCCTGTCTTTTGCTTTATGATGAGGTCGTTTTATGATTGAAATAAAATCAGAGAACATGTGGAACCTGTATCTGTATTGAGAGAGTTACATGGTGGGGGAGGGTAATTGTTTTGATGAGCATCAAACCAACAAAAGCAATAATCAATTTGTGTAAGTGATATTGTTTACCATATACGTCGAAGATAAAGCTTGAAATATAACTTAATGTAAGCTTTGTCTTTCTCTCGTGATGATGAAAATAAACACACATCTACTTTAGGGTTAATAATTTGGATAACAAGCTTAGTTTCAGACACAAACTTGTCCCATTTTTCCAGTTACTGTTATGAAGCTAGATTTAGCTTGTAGCTTGTTACAGCTGACAGTTTTCTAGCTTCCTCAATAGCCATCTTATCACGTGAGCTGTTTTTTATTCATATTAGTGGAAGCTGTTGTTTTTCCATACTCCTATTTATATAGGAAAAAGTGTTTAGTGTCATGCTTCCCACACGGCATTTAAAGCCATGGATGGTCTAAACAGCTTCCTATAGAAATATCTTGTGATCCTGCCAGGTTTCTCTGCACTGACAGTGTGCAGTGAGAAGTATGATGGATCAGACAATTTAGCATTTCGGTCCAGTTTCTAGTGTGATGATTACATTGTTCTTAAGTCCTGTTATAGGCTTTTTTGAAATTATTATGTGAATCATGTTCTTATAATTGCGAAATTATTTTCTTGCTTTCCAAATGTTGGCATGAGATATCTAACCTAATGGCAGAACATATTTTTTGTGTATTTAACATGGCATTTCAAACTTCGGGTTGGTTAGACTATTAGATGCCTTCTAGTAACAATCTTTGATGAAGCTGCAAGTGTCAAGGACCAAGGCTGCACGGTTGCTAGGCTTAAACTCTTGGTCCGTGACACAAGATTCAGCTGATTGTTTGTGGCAAAATCATGTCATTTATTTTTTTCAAAACTTCTATCTGAAACTGAAAAACATTGGAGCATCTATCAAATATTGATTTGTCGAAATGAAATTGTAGACTAATTTTTAGGCAATGGAGGTTCCAACTTCGTTTCTTTTCCTTTTCTCAGGGATCAAGGTTGTGACAGCTATAGAGATTATGAAGGAGATTGAGGCTATGATAGGGAATCGAGACGTGGCCGAGATAGGGATAGAGAGAGGGAAGGAGAGGGGGTACGGACTGTTATTGTGTTAAAGTGGAAAAGGAATATGGTCGTGAGAGGAAGCAGGATAGAAAGGCGGATGGTAGGGAGCATGATAGGCGAGAAATGGACCGTGGCGGACAAAAGATTCCTACTAGTAGGGATCACAAGAGACAAGCTTGCAGCAGCAACAGTCCTAGAAGGCATGAACCAGGTGTTGGTAGTAGTGCTCTAGAAGAAACAAAGAAGGAAACGAAGGATGATGGAACTGATCATCCAGATCCGGAGACTGCTGAGGCCAACAGGATCCGAGCATCCCTTGGGTTGAAACCATTAAAAGCAGATTTTGTGTGCTTTTAGATTTAACACTGTTAGTATAGTTTGAAAGCACAGTGGCATATTCAGCCATATAGTAATTATCTTACTATCGCTCTGTCCCACATATTTTTTCCTGGTAATCGACATATTTTTGTAATTTAGGAACTCTGGTAATTATGGGATGAAGTGAATGAAAATTAGCAATCTATTTTGTCGTTCCCTTCACTTTGTAAGTTGTAACGAAAAGAGTAAATGACAGACGACAGATGTGAAAGATTCTATCATGCATGATGACACCAGTTCTGCTTATTTAATAGGTTCTCTGCAGGTTCCACCTATCACGCAGATCATTGGTTCCCTGATCATGCTTATAAAACATATTGCTGTCGTGTTTCTGGGAATATTTGGATTTTCAGGTGTGGCACTTTATTTGGCTACAATTGCTTACTTGGATTTAGGTTTGTAATATGTGGCATTAAACAACCATGTCAGCGTCATTTTAATAGAAAATTCAACAAAAAAAAAAGCCATGCAAGTGAAATCTATGTTATATGATCTTGATCAACTGTCGTGTCAATACAATTAACGAAACAAAATCACACTTCTAACAGAATAAAATTAACAACATTATCAATTGGACCAAGAGTAGTAAATGTATATACTAAAAGCGCTCAAATTGTATGACTTATGGTAAAGGAATTAAATCTCAAATATTAAATGAGTACAGATATTAATTGTATAAGTTGACCTTTCTTAATTCCCTTCTACTTAGCCTTAAGATTTGCTCCCAAATCAAATCCCTATTACCAGGACTTCGAAATTTCCTCTGCTCTGCTATGATGGAGGATAAATTTTTTTCTTTTAATGTACTCCTAGACTTCTTTTTTTTTTTTTTTTTTGTATTACGAAAGATTTTCATCTATGATTCAAATTGATAAGTTAATTTAACGATAGTGAAAAAAAAAAAAAAAGGGAAATATAAAACATGTATATCAGGGAACCATATAAAGAACTGAAACTTCAAAATATAATCTTTTACTAGTGAATATAATTAAGAAGAAAGGAACATTAATAGGCTACATATATTCATTGATATTCACGAGATTGTTGAGTCCAATAACTATCTTGGTATATAATAAGCAATCAGTGCACAAAACGATTAAAAAAAAGAAACTGACATTGTTTGCTATATAATATGTATTACAACGGATTACTGAAGCAGTAATGCTATCCTCCCAGGGGCCATGCCAGTTCCCTTACCAAGGGTAGCTAGCTGGGTAGGACAAATGATCTGAAAATCCTAAGACTGAATCCGAAGTGAGTCTTCTTGCTGTGCTGGTATAGGCAGGTGACCTTTCTCTTGCAAGCTCTTGACTGTTTCATATAGGGACTGCTTCACAGGGGTGAACTCCAACCCCAGGTCCTCTAGCTTTTGGTTTGAGAACTTGTAGGGTTTTGCTCTTGGGTTCTTCTCATCTGAGCACCTGCATTATCAAATATCATAATTACAGCACCTTATAGTTTTGCATTCTTGGATGAAAATGCAAATTAATAACAGGGTACTTTGATGAAAATGTACATATCAAAATAATTAATTAATTAATCCTTTTTTTTTCAGTAATAAAACACAATATCAATTTCAAAATCGATTATTTTGAGTGAGAAGGCCTGCCCCACACAATATGGAGGCCCAAACCGGTTTTGGTAGGAATCACGCGTTGTTCAGCTACCCCTTCATTTAAAGGATATGAAAGAAATTCTCAAATGCAATCCTAAAAGAAGTTGGGGACCCTATTTTTGTCCTAGCTGCAACAACCCCAGAATTCATTGAAATTTTCAAAAAAGAAAAAAAAAAAGCTTCACTTAAATTTCCCTACTGGTAAATCTTCGTGATCGATCTTCAGTAGGTGGATGGAATAGATTATCCCATTTGCCCAACTTTCTTGACAGAATTTGACAAGGACGTTGGGGTAGGTAAAGATCCTTCTACACCACTACTTATATTAATTTATTTGTTTTTAAACTTAAAAAAAAAAAAAATTCATCACTTTCACCAGAAATCCACTTCGTGTAAAGTAGTAGGTAAAGATTATGTCATTTGTCAAAGCTGGTGAACCGACTGCCCCACCCCCTTGCATTAGAAAATGAAAGATTGCCATTGCCAGTCCATGCATACCTTCAACCCTCTATAATCTTAATCCTCTTGTTTTTTAATGCCTTCCTATCTTACTTCCATTTTTCTTCTTCCACTTTGATAGAAAGTGATGATGTAAGGAATGATGAGAAAATTATTTATATTAATTAGTATAATTTTTATGTTTATTATTCTAATGGAATTTACCTTTTTCACCCACTTTTTGGATTTGATGATGAAGTTTAGCCACATGCTGAACTGCTCTCAACTTCTAATATGTTTTTTACTTGTTTCTTTTTCAAAAAGAAATCGGCATGTAATGATGTACCGATGATTTTTCTCCAAGTAGTTCAGGAAACCCTATGCTTTTATTCCCAAAGCAACCCCTGGAGGTAAAATCTTCTAATTTCCTTATAATTTTCATGGACTGGATTAATCTTTAAACAAGAGACATCAAATTCTTGATTTCTGCCTCTCCTTGTCGGCCAACAAAAGGTTGACGTTTACTAGTCAACAAGTTGTGGCTTATCCTAAAAGGCCCCACTTTGAAGTGAAGCAGAGGGTTAAGATTACCAAGCAAGCATAAGTGTTAGTTTTCAAAATAATTGACTTCTAGCCAATTAAAATAATGAATTAGATTGTCATCCAATCTAATTTTCCGAGCATGTCCCATTTTCGTAATTAAACCTCTAATCGGTAGAAAATTGGCATAGAAAATTTTGTTAAAGACAAATAAAACTAGACCTATCTTCTTACATCATAGTGTTGTTTATTTAATTATTATATCATAATTTACGTTAATACATTAAATATAAAATATATTTTTTAAATTTATCAAATTTATAAATAATTTTTTTTTAAATTTCATGTTTTTTATATTATATCACCTTACTATGTTTAAAATTTAGAAATCTAAATAAAATACCTAGACTTTAGTAGGTTAAAGAATGTTGAAAATAGACAAAAGTCATCCACTTAGAAAATATGTAGATGTAAAGTAAAGCAATTGGGCACAAACTAACAGAAAATTAACGGCTAGCTAGACAGCAAATAGATTTTGGTTCTATTTGTTACTTAACTCAAATATTCTTTCACTAATATTTTATGCCATGAAAATCTCAGGGTGGATCCTACCGCCCCAAACAAACAGGCCGCACTGCTGACTTATTATTGTATTAAAAGTACCCTATTTCTAACCTCAAAGTTCTTCGCCAATTTTGTCAAGTTGATATTGCAACAACAATTTAGATGAGTAATCAGTAGTAAAACACTTACTTGGTTGGGATGGGATACTCAGGGAAGAACTTGGCTAGAATCTCCACCACCTCTCCACGGTGGAGGACGCTCTCGGCGCAGAGGTATCGGCCAGAGGCAGAGGGATTCTCAAAGACAAGAATGTGTGCTAAGGCAACATCTCTAACGTGAACATAGGCTTGAACTGAGTTGGCATAGGTCTTTGCTGAGCCGGTTAAGTACTTGAGAATGTGAACAATGCTTGCATTTACAGTTGACTGCAGCAATGGACCTAGCACTAGAACAGGGGTTATCACCACAAGGTCCACTCCTTTTTCCTTGGCCATTTCCCAGGCTGCCTGCTCTGCCACAGCCTTCCCGTAACAATACCAGTTCTGCAATTTTTATGACACGTGAATCAATCATATAAAAAATTTAATTAACTCTACCCATAAGTTATTATGTCCATAAACACCTCCAAAGATTGAAAAACAAGAAAATTTGAAAGCAAATTTTCTTACAACTCTAAAATTTTCTCCTGAACACCTTTTCCGTCAATAGAATCCACTGCTGGTGCCTATCCTATTTTGGGTTGGAGGGATGATTATCATGGTAGGCTGGTAGCTATCCTATATTGGCAAAAACTGTAACATTGACCATACATTCATCGTATTTACCTGAATTTGAGGATAATATTTGCAAAATAAGCATAGCGATCGGAAGTTTTACCAAAACAAGGAGCTTGCAGGCCTTTTGATTTTTACAAGATTCATTACTTCAGGTTATAGAGCAGGAAAATAGCTTTCTTAATTTCCCGGAAACAAGCAGGAAAATACCCAGTCAAACACAAGGTCAGTTAAACTTGACTTTTTCTCTAGGTTTAATATTTCCAATCACTTGTGTTATAACCCCACATAAATGGGAAATGGCAATTGCCAAATCATAATTCCCAAAAAAACAATCAGAATCAGTCCAAAAGTAGATAAAAATAGTTGAATACTCGAGTCTGGAAGCTGATTTTATGAAGTTTCATTATTTCTAATCAAAACTTAATGGGGTTGTTCATTTTGGGGATTAATGAAGAAAGAATTAAAGTCACCTTGGTATTCTTACAAAACTCCAGATCACTCCAGCAAGACTCATCAACAACGACATCAGGGCTCCTGTTGGGGTCCATGTACACTGCACCAATCGAAGACGTGAATACCACTCGTCGAACCTTGGCCTCTGCCGCTGCCATTATCACATTTTTTGTCCCATTCACGGCCGGCTCCACCATTTGTTCCTTTGAATTAATCAAAATTAGCCAAACCATAGCCTTCAGTATCATATCTCATTAACAGAAACTGAATGAATATTCCAAAACACATTGTGCACCTCAAAATTTTTATGCAAAACACTTTAAACAAAATGACAGTATCAAAAAAATTTTATGAATTTTCTTATTGAATGTCTGGTTTTGTTTATCTGTTGGAATGGTGGCCCAATATGTCACTGTTAAAGCTGAAGCTGAACCAGACAACAGGACCCACCATATGACGAAAAATTGTTGGTTAGAAAAGAATTGTTCGAAAACCTTACGAAATACGAGGACTACATTTCAACTTGATCTTTGTTGAGCAGTGTCTTTCAACTATTTTGACAAATTGAAGAGTAAAGTTGATTTATCTTTTTCTCTCCAAACTTTCTCTAGAACCAAACCGCACAGAATAAAATCTATAGTAAAACAAAAGCAAAAAAATAAACGACTTACAGGATCATCAGTCACAGGTGAAGCTGTGTGGAAAACTCCATCACAACCATTAATGGCTTCCTTAAGAGACTCATAATCGAGAAGATCAGCTTTGTGGAGAGTAAGCCTTTCATTTGCTCCTTCAAGCTCTCTCAAATGATTATTCTTGGGATCATCTAAACAAAAACCCAGCGTCCAAAATTTATTCATAAAACCATTTAACATAAACAAAAGCACTAACAAGAAATCTCTAAAAAGATTCAAACCTGGGTTCCTTAAAGTGCCTTTGACAGTGTAACCTTTTTCAAGAAGAAGCTTGACAATCCAGGATGCGATGAAGCCACCAGCACCGGTGACACACACGGTTTGGCTACAAGGGGAAGAGCCCTCAACTGGCATAATTTGAAAATGTTATAGCTCAATGATAAGATTCTAATGTTTTATGGGAAAATTTGTGAACGTGGCCTTCTTTTCTTCTAATGCTTTGCCTTGTTTTCGTTTGGGAGAGCAATTGGCAATGAGGTTGGTATTTATAAGGCAAAAAAATGATTATCTTACCTACCACAGGTAAATTAAAAATACCGAAAATTAGAGAAACGCACTTCCCTAGTATGGAATTTTTCTGAATTTTCTTCTTTGTACAAGAAATTAAAATTTAAAAGTGACTTGATAGGTTTTGATTTATTATTTTATTAGTTTTTAAATAAGATTGAGTCGGTGCATGCATAGATGAATAATTAGATTTATATAATTTAACATAAAAAATTAATTGATATTATAAAAAATCGTTGATGACTTTCAGCAAATTGATCCTCTACAGATAATTTTAGTATAATTTATAAATGTATAGATATAGGAATATAATTTCTTTTTTTTTTTTTTTAGTTTACATTTTTAGGTGAAAGAATTTGGAAACTTGATGATTGGGTTTGATTGGTTTCAAAGAAAATAATGGCCCACACAACTTTTGTAATATGTCACATTTTCACTTGTGAACTTTCTATGGTACTTTTATTTTTAAATTGATTTATTTATTCGTATTATTTACAAAAGTAAAGCAATAAATATGATTGAGATTTAGGTGATAAATTTTATTTTTGCTTAATTAAACCCTTTCTTTTATATGGAAACAAATTATTATGATTCAAATTCTTACTTAACAAGAATTTAAAATTTAATTTAATTAATATATATTGTTATTTTTTAAAAAATGGTATCTTATAAATTTAAATTTTGAATTTTAATATTTATAATTTCTTATTTTATTTCTAAATTACGATTTTCTATGCATAAAAAAAATCATACTTAACGAGATTGTGTTGAATTTTAAAAAATTAATTAAAATATAAATATATATGTCCTTTTATTTTTTTTATAAATTTATTAATTATTTTAAATATACAAACAAACAAGCTTGACATCTTAGCAAAAATTACGAGGACAGAGAAACCATGCATCAATCATGAGACAGTTGTATTCAACAGAAAATTGAACCATAAGCATTTTATTCATTCATAATAATGGCCTAATATTAATTTCAAAAAAAAAAAAAAAAAAACCAATGGCCTAACATCTTAGGGGATTAGTGTATTTCCCACTAAATCTCAGGGAATCATAAGAAAGCCGAGAGTGTTTTTCAAAGTAAAAGGAGTTAAAAGGGTATTTTTAGCTTAGGGTTGGCAATTCAATTTAAATTTGTTAGATTTTAATTTGATTTTATAGGATTGATTTTTTTTTTTTAAATCAAGTTTTAGATTGAGTTAGATCTTTATTTTTTTTTTAAATTAAGATCTAATTGAAATTGGGTTTTAGACAAATCCATTCTAACTTGATTCGATATATAAAATTTTTTTTTATTATTTATTTAATTTTATATTTATATATTAATATATTTATATTTATATTTAAAAAATTATATTTTATTAATTTCAAATAAAGTTAGATTAGCTGTTGTTTTATGCATAAACAGATCACATCAAATATTAAAAAAATAATATTTTAATATTAAGTTTGATCCAATTAAAATATTTATTATTTAAAGTTGAGTTAGGTTTGAAATGAGTAAAAAATCATCCCAACCCATTATCATATCTATTTCAATCAGGCTTTAAAGGTAATGTTTTTTTTTTTTTTTTTTGAAAATACTCAAGAAAAGAGTATTAAAGAACCTTATCTAAATCCAAATAATTACAATTAAAACCATTTGCTGCAAACCTTCTGAGGTTTAAATATTATAATTTTTTTCTTACTTATAAAATTCTCATCTGATGCACCCATCTATATATATATTGGTACAAAGGAAGCTAAGGATATTGGGAAAAAGAAAAATACAAATGTTAGAAATTGAATTATAACCTTACAAAATTCCACCTTTTAAGGGAGGTGGGTGAACTGTTTTGACTATATCATATGTTAGGCCACATTTTGTATATTTGAATTACATGACTACTTAAACAACATATGAAGGGGTCGTTTATAAATTTAATTTTTTTGTTCAAATTATATATTTTTTATCATTTAAATTATCAAATATTAAATTTTGATCATTAAATTTATGAATTAGCTATTTTATCGATAGATTGCTAGAATGATAAAAAAAAAAAAAAAAGTTTCAGGGCATTTTTGTTGTGATTGGGACACCATCTCATTTGACAGTTTTGTTCATTTTATAGAAAAACAATTTGTTAATACCAAAAATGAACAAGGATGACTTTGAATTAATATAAAAGTCAAAATTGAGTTACTAATAGAGCATCAATAGTTTGAATTTAAGGTAAAAAAAAATGATGCTTTAGCGAAAAGAGTTGCTTTTGCAGTCAATTCCCACTAAAATGGCAATCCAATATACTTGAGCAATTTTTAAAAGGCATTCGAGTTGCAAAAGTAACATGCTTTATTAGTCGATTCCCAATCGAAAAATGAGCAGCCCAATCCTGATTTTTTGTTTATATTCATGATTACCAGTCGATTCCCACTCCATTTGTCTTGATTTAATTAGTCGAAATTATAAAAATTTTGAATCACAGTCGACTACTAGAAGTTAGCCATCACTTTTTCCTTATTTCAAAAAGGACTCTCTTTTGAATGGTCTTGTGTTTTTTTATTCTTTCCAAGCAGTAATAGTACTCCACATGATTATTTTCTCATTTCTTGTAACTAAAATGTAAGACTATAACACTCGAGAAATATTATCTTTTGGCCCATTCAAAAATTCTCTTCAAATATCTAAACCTACCCTCTTTGATCCATTCTTCTATTTCTCTTCCGTATAATTTCCTTTTTCTTTTAAAAAAAAAAAAAATTCTGATTTGAGAATATGATAAGGCATTATAGGTTTTAAATTTTAATTTTCAATTTATACGATATCATTTCTTAACATTAATTATATTGTAAAAATTCACATTCAATTTATAAAATATTTTTCGTTTATATCAATTAGAATTGTTAATAAGATTTTATCTCAATAATAAAGATAAAATATCTCAAAATTTTGAAATCTCATATTTAAATTTCATCATTTGTTATGTTTGATTCTATTTATGTTGAATTATTATTTATTTAATTATTTAATTTTATTTCATTGATTTCTTACATAAAATATTGATTGTTTATATTTTTAGAACAAAAATTAGTGATTTAACTTGATTATGAACTCTTTCGATCTGTCTTAATTCCTAACCATACAACTTAATATTTCACTGTATATGAGATTGATATCCAACCTAATTTAAATTGGAACTCAATTAGCTAACGTTTTTTACAACTTAATTTATACTGTATATGATATTGATATCTAACCTAATTTAAATTCGAATTTAATTTTCTAATTTTTTTTAATAAAGTTTTTCTTGGATTTGGAATTTATTATCTATAATGTTTTTTTTGGAACAACTAGAAATGGTGGCTGTTGATCATGGTGCAATGTCCCTCCAGTTTTCGACTGCTTCTTCTTTTCTAATCATGTAATATCTTCCTTCACGATAATTCATTTTGCATGGCCTAAGATTTGCACAAATTTTGAGTCTCAAATTACAGAATTTCAATAAATTTGTATTTTTATGGTTTGGTTTTTCTCACCTACCGCCCATGTGAATTCAAAAGTTTAATGAAATTATTTTACCTGAATTTAATTAATTAATTTATATAATTATTTTTAAAAAATAATATTTAATAAATTTAAAATTTAAAATTCATTGTTTATAATTTTTTATTCAAATTACAATTTATTTATTTCAATAAATAAATAAAATTAAAAACTGAAATTATCAATTTTCTCATTTCATGAACTTCTCCTTGACCTACTAAATACAAAATTATAATGGAAAAAAAATGGAAAATCAACTCAAATTGATAATTTTACAGGCCGTAAATTTTGCCAATCAGCTATAAAAAAAAGAAGGTAGTAATTGAAAAAGATAAAACGTGTACTATTATTAGACAGTTTCTGCATGCCATATTTGAAATTGAAAGTTGGGTGGGGTGCTAACTGCTAACTACTTTGAAGAAAATTGAATGCTCGGCGAAAGTTATCGATGCTACGTCATGCAGGCGAAAATAAAATCTCCGCTGAAATTAAATTTAATAATTTGTGTTATTATATTATATAAAATATTTTATTTATATTATATTTTAAATAAAAATTATATATTATAATATATAAAAATAAAAATATAAAAAATAATTTTTTAATTTTATTATTTATAACTTTTTTGAAATTTTAAATTATATTATTTTTACATCATATTACCGTCATTCAGATCGTCAAACCTAACTGAAATTAATCTAAATAGATGTTTCCATCATCGACGTCCACAAGAATTTTAGCTTCGCCTTAATAGATTCTTCCTACTTGTTGTAGCCATTACTTTTTTTTTCCTTATAATAAAAAAATTGTAATTTGAAGATAAAAGAGAATTGTTGTGTCAATGACACGTGCTTGTGTCACATGTCAAAGGAAAGGTCAAATTTTGAATGATTTGACAGAGGTTAAATTTGGATTAAACCATTATTATGTTTTAACAATCTCGTTATATTTAAATTTTTTCATTAATAATTTATTATTTAATAACTTTTCTTTTGTTTATGACTGTTTAATTCAACTACTATTTTTCTTTGCTGGGGTATCAAGTTTTTGCTGGAATCCATGAACGAGAACTGGCAAGGTACGTGAAGAACAAGCAAAATTTGAGGAACAATATGAACAAGTCTGCCATTATTATTCTTAACAACTTCAAGTAAAAAGAAAAAAACAACTTTTCTTTTCATCTCGTTCCTTTTTTTTTTTTTTTTTTCATTTTTTCTTCCTTTCTACTAAACATAATGTTAATGTTTAATTATTAAAATTGTTTAAGTTCTTTTTTTTTTTTCTATTAAAGTGCTCTTCCTTGTCAAAATTTAAATCTAGAACCTGCAATTTAAAAATCAATCTTTTTTTTTTTTTTTCACATACGGAAGCCTAAAAGTCTCTGATAAATTTTGGAAAAAAAGTTTAAATTAAAGTGATACATTTAAAATCTCAATATTCTCTTAGGGACCAAACTCAAAACTTTATATAAACGTA